CAGGTGTCCTCACCAGGACGCGAACCGGCGACCTTCTTGCTGCTAACCACTGATCCACCTTGCAGCCCGGCTTCATTTCAGAAGATTAGTATTGTTTTTTTTGTGTTTTTTTTATTGTATCATTTGCTTTCATGAGTGATCTACAGCTAAAACATTTAGTGGCTAATTAAAAAGAATAATGGTCATCTTTTCTGATTATTTAGGCAGAAAAGTCAGATATTTGGCATTGAGATCTGACAAAAATGGCAATTAGAGGTTGTCAGTTTTAGCTTTAAGCAATGAATAGTTGGATATTTTTTTAAATATTGCTTTTGTAAACTGATGAATCAAAAACAATAATTGATTTATTGCAAAATGAATATAGTTTTTCCCCAGTCACTTTTCTTCCTTGAATGCGTTGAGAGTGTGACTGAAGGGGTGTTAGGGTGCTGATGTTGAAGCCTTTCTGCAGCAAATCACATGCTGAGAGAAACTAAAGCTCACCAGCTCCGTCTGCTCACAGAGATGGGGATCATTAAGACCACAATGCTAAAAGCCACTAAGCATCCCTCTGGTCTCCCTCCATCCTGGAGATGGAACCAGACCAGCTGCTTGGCCTCCTGTGTGTTTTTCTCTCTCTCTTTATTGATTCCGTCCACAAGCCACCTTTGACCAAGATTGTTTTCTGCTTTTTTTTTCTTGTGAGAATATTTAACAGCGTAAAATCATTCAGACACATTTTGTGAACACTGGGATGGACTTTACCCTTCAACGTTTCAGTGAAGTCTGTGATTACTGCTGGTGATTTTCCTTTGGTGTTGATTAGAGTGTGCGTTCCTTCTATTGACGATGCATCTGTTTGCAGACTCACCAGGGACAGGACAGCTCACTAGATGTGACTATTAGATGAACAGAAAACACGCTGTTTCAGTTAATCCATCTACACCGCAAAAGGTCGTTCTCTTTAAATCACCACAGTGGGAATTTTAATCCCTTGGTCTCATTCATTAGCATGTGGATCAGGGAAGCAACTAACTGAAGGGTGAGGAGCTGTGAAATGTTATGTGGCAGTGAATGCCATGTGTGACAGGTGTGAATGTTGAATAATGCATAATGCTTGATGCTATTTTTCATTGGAACGGCGATAGCGGCATGACAACAGGCTGCGTTAACCATCAGCTAGACGATGTCACTTACAAAAACAGACAAAACCACGTGACCTCCTAAACTCAGAAGTAACTTAGTAACCGTCTATGCAAACAGCATGCAAAGGGTTTTTATAGGTGAAATGTCAAGTTAGCAGGAACTGTCAGAACCATTTTGAATACTGCTCTCGTGCTCATGGTAAATTCAGCCTTCTGTTCCTCTGTCAATGCACACAGTTATTTCAAATAACAGCCACTAATTGGGGTAAAATCCTCTTGCACAGCCAGTGCAGTCTATAATTCAATAATATTGATCTGGATTAGGGCTGAAACAATTAGTTGATTAATCGATTGGTTAGTTCTTATCCACACCCTGCTCACATTGTGCATTGATTACCACAAAGCCATTCTCTCTGGTATTTCCAGAAAAGTTCTCTACTGATTCAAAACCATCAGAAATTCTGCTATTAAGATCTTCCTACAATCACATCACAATCGTCCTCATTCAGCTCCACTCGCTCTCTGTTCACTTCCATGACATGCAAATTCACTTCATGTAGTAAGGGAAGACCTTAGAAAGAGTGGCACCCAAAAAAATCCAAAGACTGTCTTTGAGCAAGATCTTTGGTGACAGAAAAAAACCTCCTGTTGAACCAGGCTGAGGGAGGACAGACATCTGCTTCACCCAGTTGGGTTGAGGGTAAAGGAGAGAGAGAACAGATAAGTCACACATAAGACAACAACAAATACTGTGGAGGTTGGTGAAGCCAGAAAGTGCAGGTCAGAAATGTGTAGCTCACGAGCCAGAGATACCTGTAGCGAGGACAAAACACAAAAAATGTGTCATAAATTATGTTTTTCAAGCCTAATTTTAAAAGTAGACAAAAGTGTTTGCCTCCTCAACCCCAAACTTGGAGCTCCTTCTGCAGGAGCAGGCTGAAAGATCTGCCTCCCATTCTACTTCTAGACACTTGAGGAACCACAAGTAAGCCTGCACTCTGAAAGCAAAGTGCTATTGTGATAACACCATCAATAGAGCTTGGTCATTAAGGGCTTTTTATAAGATTTTACTGCCTACCTTCAAATCCCTTTATAATATATCCCTTCTTGTGCTTTAAGATCTTGCTCTGCTGCTGTGATCTGTGACAGATCCATCGACTGGACTCTGTTGTTTAGATAAAATCACAACTCAAAACACATTTGCTTAGAATAGTCTACCTATTACAACTCAGCTGTAATCCGCTCATGTCATGTCCACTTTGAACTTAATCTTGTTTAATTCCGGTGTTGTTATGCCTGGAGTTTTATGAGTGTTCTTGGGTGTTTTGTCATTATTATTATTTATTATAGAATTTATATTATAATTCAAAAGAAGTATAAATATGCCTACAAATTCTATCTGCTTTGGAATGTTTTTGAAAAGTTGTCTGGTTTCTTGAGATTTCCCAACACTGAGACTGCTCAGGGTTACCAATGACATTTTAATGTATGCTAATGATGATATGTTCCCCGTCTTTGTACTCCTTGAACTCAGCACAGCCTTTGACATGATTGACCACAGCATCCTGAGGCAGTGTGTGAAGAGATCTGAAATAGCTTTAGAAAGATTTTCATCTTATTTGTCAGATAGGAGGTTCTGTGTCTCTGTGAACAACCATACAGCTTTATTGTGGTGTGCCACAGGGCTCAGATTTAGGACCAATTTTATTTTTTACACATGCTTCTGCTTTGGTATGTTATTCTTAAACATGGTGTTTCAGTTCATTTTTATGCTGATGACACACAGATTTACCTTCCTGATCCCTCCAGCCTGGTTTGTTGTGTTCAAATCAAATCAGATCAAATCAACTGTATTTGTTACATACACAGTTGCACATGGTACAGTGCATAGTAAAATGTTTTGTGTACTTGTGATCCAGCTTGTACACACAAAACAAGGTCACAGTGCAAAAGAGACAATGAGCACAAAAAAACAGAGAGCCTCTTAATGGCTGCCTTTGTGATGTCAAACTGGATGTCCGATAATTCTCTTCAGCTAAACTCTGAATAAAACAGAGATTCTTGTTATTGGGTCACAGTACATGGAGAAACAGATTGTCACATCAGCTGGTTTCCTCTTGGATCGTGTCAAGCCTGTTTTAAAGAATCTTGGTGCCTAGTTTGACAGTAATCTGAGTTTTGAACAGAACACCACAACGCTAGTGCAATTATGGTTTTTATCATCGCAGAAATACCTTTAAAATGCAGTTTATCTTCACTTTTACAGACACAGAAACCATTTTACTTACCTTAACCAAACACCTATCGATTGATTCCACTTTGCACAGTACACCAGATTTAAGAAACATGATCACATCATTCCTCTTTCAGTCTCTTTACACTGGCTCTCAGTATGTTTGAGGGTTGATTTGAATGTTTACTGATTATTTGCTGTATCTCTGACCTCTATGATGCATCAGTATGCACTTCGAGATCCTGTGGCAGAGGTCTTTCATTTATTTATTTATCTCTAGGGGCCCAACTGAAAACTAAAGGTGGCAAAACGTTTGCTGCAGGGAGTCCCTGAGGCTCTGGAATAATCTGTCTGAGGACATCAGGTCACCTTTAAAATGCATTTTTAAGACATACATCTTAGAGCCTTTACTAATTTTATTTAAGTCTTTTTTTTTATTTTAACCTTTTCTTACACTGTATTGGTTTTATACACCATGGTGTACACTCATTATGATTTTACCACTTGTCTGTGTTATTATGAAGCACTTGGATTTTGAAATGTGCTCTACAAATAAAGGCTATTATTAATAATACATATGAGGAAACATACAGACTGCAGTATTATAATGATAGGAAGACAGTATAGCTGCAGTAAAGCTCTCAAGTATCCCACTGTAATCTCCGATCCTTCACCGTAGGCAGTCTCACAATCTTTTAAAGCATGCCACCACTTTCTTCCTCCACAGCTCCCTCCTGAAAACTCCTTGTTGTACCAGAACAAGGGGATGGAAAAACCCACATCTCTGCTCGCTCAGCCTCCGGTCTCTGAGGGGTTAACCGTCACTCGGTAGTAGGAAGTGGGTGGTTGGAGCCGAGGATGGAGCGGAGCCCGTGTAGCCGCCACGGATCTTTTTTTTTTTTTTTCTTCCACGAGAAAAAGCGGCGTTACACCCGAGACAAAACGGGAACGAACACATCGCATCGCTGACGGGAAAACGGACGAATTCCTGAAAACGAGACGTGATCGACCTGCGTTCACCGCCGATATTTGCGTCTCTCGTGGATGTATTATGTGTACACAGAGAGAGTCGCTGCAGATTCTCATTGATCGTGCCTTTTTTTAATGCACACATGGCCTGACAGCGTGCCGATGTGTCGTAAAATCGAGATCTTCGTGTGCAATATGCATGCAGTGAACTCCGTGCACTTGCATGCGCTGGAGCCTTCTCGGCGCTCAGACTTGGCTGTGGGTTGCGGATGTGGAGGATCGCGGCGATAGAGAGCGTCTCAAAACGATGACAGTAGTTGAGTTGATTTATTTCGGCTGTTACTGGTGCAACGAGATACTGAGAGATTTACGAAATTGTTGACTCGGGATAGCGTGTGATTCAGATGGCGGCGAAGATGTCTGCAAACTTGTCTTGCTTTATCTAATCTGCGCTGTGATAACCTTCGCTCCGACCGTCTGGCTTTCTTCTCTCAGCTGGAGTTGGCTTCCTGCTGATCCCACCGTGCCCCCCTGCTTATTCAGCATTTCCCAGCACAGATCAGCCCCGTCAGTCTCTGCCAGCATGGGATGTCTGCTGGAACTTTTTACACTTTGAGAGCAGTTTCTTTTAGGGGCTTTTAACGCGAGATCAGCTCCAATTTTGCTTCTAACCCCTCGTGTTCCCTTTTTTCACTGACTGTAATCTTCTGGCTCTGGTTGGAAAATTCGCTGGTTGGATGATGGTAACAGCATCCCCTCCTCCTCTTCCTTTTCCAAACGTTTCGATTTAGTTGTAAAATCTTCAAGCCACGCGAGACTGGGGCCTCGTTCTCGCCCGCTCACCTGGAAACTGCACGAGACCGCGTCGACAGGTGTGAAGCCGGACACGCGCCATGGATGATTCAGGGATCATTCGGAGACGGAGGCTGCAGGTGAGAGGAGGCATCCATCACTAAACTGTCTGCATATTTCACAATAACAGCTAATGTTCTTGCACATGTAGAGGAGAGATTAGACAAGGTGACTTGGAGGGTAGCACTGTTGCCTCGCAGCAAGAAGGTCACCGGTTTGCCTCCCGGTGGGGTCATCCGGGATCTTTCTACGTGGAGTTTGCATGTTCTCCCTGTGCAGCGTGGGTTTTCTCCGGGTTCTCCGGCTTCCTCCCACACAGTCCAAAAACATGTTGAGGTTAATTGGTGATTCTAAATTGTCCGTAGGTGTGAATGTGAGTGTGCTTGGTTGTCTGTCTCCAAGTGTAGCCCTGCGATAGACTGGCGACCTGTCCAGGTGTCCCCTGCTTCGCCCTGAGTCAGCTGGGATAGGCTCCAGCCCTCCTGCGACCCTAGTGAGGATTCAGCGGTGTATAGATAGTGCATGGATGGATCTAAAAAAATCACAGACCTGTCAAACATTTGCCAAGTAGGTTTACACTTGTGTGACTCAATAATTCCATTAAGGAATCAAGCACATGTTTTTCCCAGTTTCTAAGTCATATAGCATCCCACTACCATGCATCTGATGTTGCCAGATTCCACACAATCTCCCCCACTACTCTGCTGCCAGCGTGTTGTAGTGAGATACATGTGAAAACACCACATATTAATTTATTCTATGTGAGTCTTTTTATCCTTTCATCTTGCACTTGTATTCTTTTTTACTACAAGAGGAGTTTGTTGTACACCTGTGCAACGACAATAAAGGCATTCTATTCTATTCTATTCTATTCTATAACAATTTCATAATACACATTTTGTTTCCTTGTTATAAAGGCTAATATTAAAGTCTGCTTGTATTGTCGTATCAAATGATGGAAGCTTCTGGGGGGAAAAAAAAAACCAAGATACAGCGTGTATGACTAGTCCTTATTATGACCAAGATGAGCTCTTAAAATTAAAAAGTGGCTACAATAGCTGACGTTCTTATTGCACTTCTTTCAAGACGACAGTGTGTGAAAAAAATGTTCTGGTTTTAAGGATGTAAAGGCACAAAACAGAAACATGTCACAGTTTTAAATCACACATAACAGCCACTCTCAGCTAGGAGTGGCCAATGTAATACCATTTTCTACCACTTGCTATGTATAGTAAATCGTCTTGACTAATAAACTGCATACAAGATACAATATTTGGCTAATCTGGAAAACAAACACCGGACAACTCCTAGTACTTTATCACAGCGATAGATAAAGAAAATGTCTAGTTTGTTCATTTGCACCATCTAATGTGGCCAAACTCCATTAGATGTAATAAGATGATAGGTACCTCAGTATAAACACGGCCAAAGCTTTTGCAGTACAAACTTTCCTGATGTGCAGCTTTGGAATAACTCTTATGAAAGGCAGCACAGATAGGTGCAGTGGGTGCCAGACCAGTTTTGTCTGTCGAATTCGCCATAAAATGACTGTATGTCTGTAATAGTCAGTCATATGTTGAGTGTGGTTTACTTTCTGGAGACTGAGTAGGTGGCATGGACTATTCTGCTACATTTGCATAATGTGGCCCAGTCATTTCACCCATGTCTTGTACAGTCTGACTGACACATCAAGGTGCTGGTAAAACTTCCTCCGAGGCTTTTCCTCAGCCTGGTGGGTGTGTGGAACTAATCAAGTGAGGCAGGCCAAGCTCACTATCAGGGCCACTGTCTGTCTCCGCTTCCTCCTGAATTCATTTACAGCGAAAGTACTTTGCTGCACACTGTGCCAAGATATGATGCTCCAGATGATTTCTCATCATTTATGGAAAGCAAACAATGGATTTCCTGCACAAATGTTGGTAAAGCGCAGCAACGCTAGTGCCAGACTTAAAGTTTCTGCTCCTACAGGTCCTATGCTCCTAATGCAAGGCAGGTGGATCAAAGCACTAAATTAAAGCTGAGAAGATAAATCTGTGGTGGAGTTACTCTTGATACCTCGTTATTCTAACGTATACAAGGATATCTGCTACCTCTGCGTCTGGCTTTGCCTTTGTTGAACTGCACTTATTGATCTGTTTGTTGAAGATTTCAACTCATCTGTATCTCAGTGACATTTAGACTGAGGCATTTGATAATTGCTGCCTTTTCAAAGCTGGTAAGAGTGCAGGGAAAGACACAGCAGTTTTTCTTAAGCTGTAATATGATGTTTGTGTGTACACTCACAGGTGAATCATTGTTGTGTACTAGAACATTTTAAAATGCTAGTTTACCAAAAAAGAAAGAAAGAAAAAAAGAAAACATATAGATTAGCGTGCTAATTATTGTCTGGGTTAATTTTTTGGTCTGTAAAATACAAAAAAAATAGTGAAAATATATCCATCAACATGCCCTTAATAATGCTTTGATCACTTAATTATCAAAATTGTTGCAGATTAATGTTGTAAAGTTCTGAATGTGTTATCAGTTATTAGCTATTTTTTAAATTGAATAATCCATTTTTGTTCTATAAAATGCCAAAAAATACTGAAGCATGTTCAGAAAGGCCAAAGTAACAGCGATGATTGCCCTTGTCATATTTTGTCCAACTAAGCATAGAAAAATCAGGGCTATTCATTTAGCACTTATACAAGACAAAGAACGGCAACTCCTCACATGTAAGAAAATGGTATCAGAGAATGTTTTCTATTTTTTCTTAAATAATTAACTGTAATTCTTTCAGCTCTGTTCTAAATAAGCTTCTTTGATAAATTACTTAATTTGTCACTCCAGGAGACAGATCTCGTACATCACAGTAATAAAGACTTTTCGATTGGATATGGAATGTAGGTTTCTCACAAACGGTTACCAGAACTTGTCAGAATGAAAACTGGTCCAGCACATATACCGTTTTATGCTCAAATGAAGGTTTGGCAGAGTTCAGTGTGAATTAGAAGTTGTTCAATCAGTCTGCTGAGCTCAGTAGTCTGTATGATTGAAATATTTCTTCAGAAATTAATTATAGTTGAATATCACACACGAACCATCAGCAGGAATGTAAAGTGAGCAGTCTGGCAGGGGGCAATCTGATGTGAACATGAAGGTTTAAATGTAATGTACATGCAGAGACACAGCAAGACACCCACGCTGTAGCACGATGGACTTAGTAGCCAACTAAAATCAGAAACACATTAAAAGGACACATGCACTTACAAGGACATTACTGGGGAGTCACGCTGCACTTTTGATTTTAGTCAATGTAGTTTAATTTGTGTGTGTGCGTGTGTGTATTCTTACTGTGGCTGCGTCTTGTGTTAGCTTGTTTATGTGTGTGCATGCGTAACATTCATGCCTATATGTACATATCAAATGGACTTCCACCCCCTGCCCCTGCTCTCCATTTCCATTGAAGTGGTCGATATCCATATCTCAGACGGAGGAGGTCTAAATGCTGAGGATGTGGTGCAGTTGTCAAGCCCATTAGCAAGACTAATGGTGGCCTAACAGCCCTGTGTGCCCTCAGGGAGGAAGACCAACCACCAGCAGCAGGACAGGCTGAAAAGACTGGAGGCCAGGAGGGGGGCAGGCATAGATTAGAAGTAGGCAGCAGCTGTGGGCTACAGTAGACCCCATTTAAGAGGCTATTACAATATCTGGATCCCTTTACTGCCTGGATCTACTTTCACTCCACAGAGACTGAGGAGGGAGGAAAATGGCTGTGTGTACACCTAATATATGTTTGTGTTTCATACACACGATCATTCATTGGTCATCTATGAGTATAAATGTGGATACTGAACGAATTAGGGATAAAAAATTAGGTATAGCTCAGTTTAGCTGAGTGTTGTTCAAGTGGTGCCGGGACAGCGCCTGAACATTCAAATGAACATAATGATGTTTTCTGCTGACAAGTCCTTTTTCATTCATTAATTTGGCAAAAGTTGCAACCATTCAAATTTGTGTTAACAAAGACGTTCAGAAACTTTGGCTGTTTGAAAACAGGTGTAAAATACTAGGGATGTCTGATATTGGCTTTTTTGCCAATATCCGATATGCCGATATTGTCCAACTCTCAATTTCCGATTCCAATACTGACCCTTACTTGTTAACTCTACATATCTAAGACCTTTAAATCAGTTACAGAATATGTGACCTTTTCTTTATGAAACACATTAAAAAATAGAAAGTTACAGTGATGAATAATATCGTGATCTGTGGCCTCACTCAGTCCATTTTATTTGGCTGTCGTTGGACTTGTTTGACTGCAGTAGTATTTTTTGATGTTTTGGGAGCGAGTGTGTCATTATTTTCTGCCTAAGTGAAGATTATCATGCCGTCCCGAGCAGTTGTAGGTGTACTGAGTATACTTACACTTAACCCATATGCTCATGCACTTGCACACACAAACAAACACAAATCATGCTGTGTGTTTCATCCCGCTCTGATGTCGGAGTACAACACACACTCACACACACACGCATACACACGCACACACACGCTAGCATAATTTGTCCAATATTTTGTTCTGGGCAGTGTGCCCATTTCCAATATGCTAAGCACAAGGGATAAGAGTATGATCACTGCAGAAGATCTAGCTCTCTTTGCCAACTCCTGTCACTCACTGCCATGCCCACTGCTTTGTTCTGCCTCACCGCGTCCTTCTGATGTCAGTATTATTCAGAAAGGGTAGGTTTCATACTGAGGGAGCAAAGTGCACATCAAAACAACAGATCTGGGCCGGAATATATTTGGGAATAGCTTTAAATATTTGAACTACTTCTGCTGGCCTTAAATGATTACGGCAGACACCTATAAAGCACAAAAGCTTGTGCCCGACTTAATCCCCATAACAGACAAAAATGCAAAAAAAAAAAAAGAAGCACTTCTTCAAGTTTCAAACTCTTCCGTGTAAAAAGGAAGCAGTAAAGGGTACTGTGGGCAGCACATTTCATTGAGACGTAACACTATTTCAGACCTCCGTGTAAAGACGTCTGGATTCAAGGCTTTTCAGTAAAGCTTGAAGGCTAGTGGACTATTAAACTGA